GGGTCACTTTTAAGAGTAAGGTTGTCTCTAGAGGTCACGCAGAAATTTGGAGTGAGAGCAACAAGGTTTGTAATACTTCAAGGGGCATTGCAAAGGCCTTGAGATTTCGTTGAGCGAACGTCAGATGTTCAGGCTCTCCTTATTAGAAATAATAATAATAATTAACCCAATATATTAATATTTCTCTCAAAAGTTTTTCATTAAAGATACAAGATCTTCATCTGGAACTTTCCTTAATCATTCTCGATTATCCACGCCAAATACCGAAAGCAAAGCATTTCAATTAAATGACGGGGACATTGTTCAACTCGGCGTCGATTATCAAGGAGGAACAGAAGGTGAGCTGATAGCAATCTTCATTATTTGTTAGCTGAATTGTGAGTCAAATAAATATTATTTATACCCCGTTCAATAATCAGAAATCTATCGATGTGTGAAGATGCGCATAGAATTAAATCATTCATGGGATGGACAGGTGAATGCTTTTAGGTGGGTGGACATTAACCGAAAATAAATGATTCTCGGTTTTCCTAAATGTCTAATGCATGCGCTAACGTATAATTACAGCTGCAATGAGTACAAAGATTTCATGAGTCTATCAGGAAATGAAGCTCACAAGCAAAAAAAAAAGGATTGCGTCATTTGCCTGTGTGGCACTGGACCACGTCAAGCACTGTTCCTTGCTCCTTGCGGTCACTCCTTTCACTACAAATGTATAAAGTATGAAATTGATAGACGTTACCCAGGATTCATATGTCCCATATGTCGACGTTCCGCGGATCTCGCTGCGCCTATTGAGAATATACCCGACCTGGAACTGCCGGAGGAGGAACAAGAAGAAGTATCGAAAAAGGGCACAGAAGAATCTACAAGCCCTAAGAAAGGGCAGAATATAGAAAAAATGACCGGCAACGAAGTTCAACCGCAATTAACTGCGAATCCACCTAATTTAACTGAAGAACGACCTAATCTAATTGGCCGTTCGCCCGCCGTTCGCTCTTCGGTTCCAATAAATAATTCCTTTGCCGTACCAATACCAGGGGACAAAAAAACATCGAGCTCATTGGAAGTTGACGATCCAAACATAATGCTCAGTAAAACTTTACCGTCAAGCTCACCACCAATTCCGGGGATGAGTTTTATTGACGAAGGCATTGACAGTGGTCCGTCATCACCTACGAATCAGCATCACCTGCTCCGGGAATCAGGTGAAACACCAAGATTAGGAGAGATTGCCGAGGAAGATGAAGGTTCAATGAGCTCATCATCGTTAAATCCACCAGGTCAGAATCAAATTCATCAGACGTCCTCCTTTCAGGAACCAAGTTTGTCATCGGCAAGCGCGAGCGACAACGATGATGATGCGATCTTGATAGGACTTCAAAGATTTGACTTAAGGACGGGGGATATTTCAACCGTGAATGGGCGACCGGATGATTCAAGAACAAAAGGGAAAGGAGTCGATAGACTTGGGATGGGTCACAGAGGTGAAGATGTTTTATGATAAACGGCAGTAATATATCATGGGAAAATCCAAAAGTAATATTTTCAGTCATTTTCAGACATTTATCAGTTCGGATGGCCTTACATGTGTAATTTTCGATGCGCATACGTCAAGCTGCCACTCCAAATTTTCCTTCGTTTTCAAATTAAAATTGACATTTTTATACTATTAATTCCCTGAGATTGTCTTTTTCACTCTGAGATGGAAATTCAGTTTGCACATTCCTTTCGCTGTACTTTTGGAACTTTTTTTTTTTTTTCCTTTTCGTATTGGTGGTTTATTGCATTGGTTTTTGTACTTATCAACTTTATATTACATAGTGACTTTTGCCAGATCACAAATTAGTTATCATAGTTAAAAAAAAAAAAAGGTTGGCAGTGTTACTTTACACCACTTTTAGTATTTGCTTGAATAGTAACAAATGCATCTACGCTCATTAAATTTTTACGTGATCACCAGTCACTATTTCGTGTAACAACAGCAAACACGGGTTTCTATACTCATATTTAAAATAAATAAAATATCATACATTATATGAAAAAAATTAACCAATGCAACAGTTATTAAAATTGACAAATTAGTATTGCTGTTTTCTAAGTTTTTCTTACGGTTTGGTTTTACGAAGAAATTTGGTGACCAAAAAATAATAAAATCATGCTGTAAAACAGAATTCCTGGAACAATTCTAGAATAATCGACTTACGATTGCCTTTTACAAATGCAATCAAAGATAGATATTTTCTGGATCATGCAAGTCAAATGATATTTATTACGTAAAACGATCATAATATTTTTATGAATTCTTCTTTTATTAGCACTTTTCTTTTTTTCTTTTTCTTTTTTTTTTTTCTTGTACATAATCAAACGTCGCAATAAAAAGATTTGTTTGTACATATGGTCAAACAAAAACCCTGCATACTCCACTAATACTACGTAAATTTACAGTTTACTTTTTTGGTTGTATAAAATATTGCAAGGGAAACTTCGCAAAAATTTGAACTCAAAAAAAAAAAAAAGAAAAAAAGAAAAAAAAAGAAAAAGAAAAAAATCCCAATATTATTCTTTTCCATGCTCCAAATCCCACGAAATATAAACGAAAAAAATCAAATATGCAAAGAGAAAAACAATAAAGTAAAAGAAAATTATGAGATTGCCTATATTTAAAAAAAAAACGACTATATATATATGTGTGTGGAATTTTTGCCTGCGAGTCATGCTGTTTCCTTTTATCTTGAAGATCAATAAATTCTCTCACAAACTGAAAACATACAACATAAGCATAATTGTTGACACTTTCTTTTTGTTTTTAAAAAATTTTTTTCCAAGTGTGACAACTAAACGTAAATACCTCTTATCTTTACTGGTATTCTTCCGAATTTTTTAAGGCTTATTATTGTACCTTCGTGGTCTAACTATCATCAACATACCGCCACACTCTTGCTCTACAATCACCCGAACCCGTGGCGAAAAGTTTTGATCCATTTAGAGCTGGGCTCAAGGCAACGGAAATCACTGAAATGATTGAAATGTAAAGAATTAGGATAGAGTTCTCAATGCTAATAGTCGAAACTCCAAAATACGAACCTGAATTTTTATGACCCTGCAGCATGAATTGTGTGTATGCTGTGTTCGGGTCCCAAAATTGTACACCACGGTCTTTTGATCCTGAAACTACCCAACGACCATCAGGTGAAACCGCCACTGATAAAACAAAGTCCTATTTTTTTTTTTTTTTTTTTAGCAAGAAGTCATGTACCCTTGAAAATCACGTGAAAATAAAATCAGGATGGATGATTCACCTTGTGTCCGCTAAACGTCATCCTCGCCGGATTCTTTGCACTTGAACCGCCACTACTTGGATTTCTTCCGGGATGACTCATATCCCATAATTTCAGAGTTTTATCGAGACTTCCTGAAACCAATGTTTTACCATCGGGTGCGAATGCCACCGAATAAACGCTATCCTTGTGACCTTCCAAACGCTCGAGAAGATAACCCGTTCGCGCATCCCAGACACGCACTATTTTATCCAATGAACCTGCAGCAACGTAAAGGCCATCGGGACTGATGGCCACACTAGTAACACCTGCGTCTTTCTGGCTAGGTTCATCAATTGCAAGTTTGTACAGCAGACCGCCGGACACCATGTCCCAAATTCTAGCAGTTTTATCACCGGAACCCGAAACAATTAACCGTCCGTCGCGCGAAAAATCAAGAGAGTAGATATCTTGCTCATGACCGGGGAAAAATTGTCGAATCGTCCGCTTCTGAATATCCCAGATCTTAATTACATCGATAAATGAATTGCTACTATTCAGTATCACCACCGACTTATCTCTAAAAGTAACCCATATATATATATATATATATATAATTTTTTTTTTTTTTTTTTCTTCTTACCCTAATCTGTTTATCCTCAGCACCCGTTGCTAAACATTCTCCATCCGGACTAAAACAGACACTCCTAATATATAGGTCTCCAGTTTTATCAACATTGTTGTCATCCAAAACACTAATAAAACTTATTAATTCAGTTCGGTAATTTAAGAAGTAAATGTTGAAAGTCATTGAAAGCTATACCATATCTTCTGGCCATTCGAGACATCGTAGATCTGTGCACTTCGATTACAGCCGGTAGCGAGGTACTTTCCGTCCGCACTGAATTTCACGCAGCATACGACGCTACAGAGGAAGAAAAAAGGAATGAATAATTTATCTACTTACTTCAAAGGAAAATACTAAACAGCAAGGGGAATTTTCAATCGATCGTGAATAAAACACTACCTATTATGATCCAATGTGTGAACTAGATCTACGTCGAGAACTCGAGATACCTTGGGATTGAAGCTATTATCAGAGGGGAAAGTCGATTAATATATAGCCTACGATGGTGAGGTTTGGTTTGTTCCAAATAAAAAAAAAATCAACGACCGATACATACATCGCGAACCAATCGGATCCTTCTTTCTTGAGTTGAGGTGGTACACTTTCTGGATCCATGTCGCCTAGGCCAGAGTTTCCAGTACCACTAATAGAACCTTGCTTTAAAGGGGGGCGAGAACCAGCTAATTGAGTGTTCATGTTTTGATTATTTTTCCGTTTATTGGGAGGTGGACCTGGTAGTGGAGCATTACCGTTGGTAGGAACTCCAGAACTCTGTGGTCCATCAGGGCCTCCAATCTGTGATATCAAATTTCCGGGCTGTAAGCCATAATATTGTGATTAAGAGATACAGACCCTGAGGCAGGCGAGATCAAGATGACCTGACCAGTATCTCCGCACCCGATTTTGAGGCATGTGGTAACGGTGATAAATAATTTATCTAAGCTACAATTAACACGCACTTAACGTACCTTTGACTTACTAACGGGCTTACTACTTTGACCAACGGGTGGCATATTATACCCCGTGTTCAGAGGTCCCTGCTGACCAGGTTGAGAAAGCGGGACGACATTACCACCGTAGAGACCGGCAGGAGATTGTGTATTTGCAGGAATTCCCATGGGAACTTGCAGACTTGGTGGTGCACCATCTTCTAGCCGCGGTCTTTTTGTCGTGTGAGGTTGTGAGACTTGACCCGGCGGGCCACCGCCGTTGAGATATGGAGACTGTGCGGAACTGCCACCTGACTGTGGAACACTTTGAGGAGGACCTCCCGGACCAGGATATGGATGTCCCGGTTGATTTGGTGGTTGTGCAGGATCCAAAGACATCTGAGGGGGTGCGAGACTTTGGGGTCCACCGTTGCCGCTAATGATGGTTCCGAAAAGATTACTCTGTCCCTGACCAATTGCCGGTGGGGGAGGTTGAGGGTGTGAGGGTGGAGGCTGGGGATGGGTACTGGAGGATTGATGAGGGTGTACCCTCTGTTGTTCGATTTCACGCTGAAGATTACGTATATCGACATCATATCTAAAAGAGTAGTCGTGCCACGAATATGCGAGATGAGCAAAAACTTCTGATACATGAGAACCAAGAGCAAATAACGCTTACTGTTGCTTTATGCCTTTCTGTGCGGCTTGCAATTCATATAGTCCTTGACGAATAATGCTGACTTCTTCGGTTTGTTGTTGTACTATTGTAAAATCAATTGGGAAATTATGGGATAAGTATAAGTATACTCGGCTTAATCGTCTAAATACTAGCATCATATTATTTACGATTGGATGTGACGCGTGCTGACGACATGCTGTTACTCAGTACAGAGCCGCCCGTCATTAACACACTGCGCAGTACACGATTATGACTCCAGTATTGTTCGAACTTCTTGAAGTGTGGTTTCAGTAACTCATACCCGCGAACGAGTGGATTATGCCCTTCGCAGTTCACACGTTTACACCAACATCAATGATAATTGAGGTACCTTTATGTTCAAATTCTTCACGTTGCATCTTATAAGTAATGGCTTCCTGTTGGAGATTCTCATACTCTTGTTTTAGAGCTTCCAAAAGTTCGTTGAAGCGATTTGAGCCGCCTGCCCCTCCCGGTGTAATCTGCCTATGATTGTATATCCCCGACATTGGCGGTTTCGTGTAATAGGAATGGAGTTCACACGCTAACGATTTCACCAAGTTCTTTGTCTTCTTGCTCCTTCTTTTTTTTTTTTTTCTTGTGCCCTGCTTGGTGATGGAGGCTTCGCAAAGGTGATAATTAAATAGGTATGGATTGTTACGAGTGTTAATTTGCGAGTACATAAAAAAAAAAAAATAATAATAAAAATAAGAATAAGAATAAAATAAAAGACGGGTTTTCCTTCGAAGTGTGATTTTCT